GAGAGAGTGGAGAGAAATGGATAGATTTAGGGTTTGGATAAATTAAAATGATAAAAACCTGAAAAGTGAAAAAATAAAGCGAAAATCTGATTTTTTAAAACGTGAAACTAAAGACTTGGTCTATGGTAATTTTCCCTTTTTTCTTTATTAAAGCAACATTAGCGAAAATGAAAGGGTCATAGGCTACTTCATAACTAAAATTCTGGACAAATACAAGGCCTCAATATTAGTTTGAAGCAGAATTACAACGTCATGAGAAAGGAAAGATGAGAAAGGAAAGCCCGTGTATGCATCTATGCTTCGAAAGTTTCGATTATTTATAGTCAGAAGTTAAGATGACCTCTTCATGATTTCAAGTTTTGAGTTTATTAGCTTCATGACAAATGCATGACAAATGAAATATGGTACAAGTACCTGACAAAGATCCATTCCAAACATGTTAGGCTTTTGATTTGTCTTCTGCTGGATAAAGGAATTCCAATTGTTGATCCTGCTACAAATGTTGAGCCAAAACAATTGATTCTTTATTCATTTTAGAAGAGCAAATTGGCGTATTTTTGAGCCGAAGACTATTATTGAATTTGCTGCATTTGAAGTATGTAACAGGTTAGGAAAGTATTATTATCCAACATTCTGGTGAATGGTGATTGTTATTTATGATCAACTACAACGTATATATTTTCTATCTTAAATTCGTATATCATAATCCTAGGAAGAACACTGCCAGAGTTACATTTGTATTCCTAAGGAACAACATCTGAAACAACAAGTGTCTGTTTTTAAAATGCTCCAAACGTGTTGAATCCTAATGTGTTGGAATTTGGTTTTGAAAGATTGAAATTTGGTCAAGTGATAAAACTAAAACTTGGAAAAAGTGACTTTGGTGTCAACTTCGACCAAATATTCGGACTTGATCTGATGGTCAAATTACAAAAGTAAATAGATCAATTTGTTCTACTTATCGAGTAGATCGTCGTGGTATATTTGGAATCTCAAAACCAATTCCGGATGAATGAGAAATTGTAGTCCAAATTTGGGAAGAAAATAAAGGAAGAAAATTGACTAAGGCTGTTGCTAGCTTATGGCAGGCTGTCGCTCGAGTGACAGGCTAGCGATAGCTAGCAAAAAAGTCACTGTTTTTATCTCTCGAGCAAGGCTATGGCGATAAACTAGTGATAGTGAATGGTGCGACATTTGGCAAGAGTTGTTGAGCTTGGGGCACGGCATTTCATTCACAACACCTCATCCTCTATATATAGGACCCTTTGGACGTCCCTTTTGCATCCCATATCATATTTGTTTTAAGCATTGCATAAAACTCTTGCAAATCACTTCCAAATTCATTCAAACCGTTTTCTTATTTGTAGAGAGGAACTCTGTCGAAAGTTCGTCGTAACTTGTGGTTTGAAGTGCTTCTACCACAAGTTGAATTCGTTGTATCTTGGGAGACAAGTGCCGTAAATCGTAAGCACCGTTGCAGGACAATTTTGTCTTAAGAAAAGAGTGAAAATCACTTACCTCGGATTGTTATTCTTCTTCTTCACTTCTTGATTTTTGGTTTTTCGTTTGTAGTTTACATACTACATTTTCAATTCTTATTATATAGTTTAGTCACGCTCCTGTGGATTGAACTTTACTTTTTATTTATTCAATATACAACAATCCTTTCACCCGCACTTATACTTAGCTCGCATCGCCAACATAATGTACTTAGAGGTATTTCTCTTTTGTTTCTTTAATGTTTTGCATACTGACATGCATGTTCAAAACTTATTATCTCAACGGAGGTTCCTTGAAACACCTTTAATTTGCAGCTAGCATCTTGGGATGCCCAATACATAGTCGGAGCTAAGGAGAGGCTCAAGAGGCTGTCGTCTCATGCCCAGCTCTTTAGAGGGCCCCAATTTTTTTTTCTTGCTTCCTTCTTTATTTTAAAAATTCATTGTCGTTTATACTCATTCACCCTTGTTCGGCTGCTCCAACCAATGAGGCTTCTTCAACAATAATATCGTAAACCATAGAATTACTGTCTGGATTTGGAATACTCATTCCATTGTGTAATACCCCCACGGTATATATTTATGCATCGTTACACATATCTTTATTGATATGATCATTTATTACTCCAATTTTTTTAATTGCATTCACTGATATATTTTATATATTTAATTGATTATTGTATAGTTTTGTCTCTAAATTCAATTATATTTTTCAATATCCCGTTGATCGGATTATTGATTTGTCTGTGGGATTGAATTTCTTTTCTCGATCTATAATCCGTATTAATTAATGTGAATTTGTGCCTTCTATGGGGTAATTAGGTGCAATATATAGTTAAATATGATGTGATTTAATTTTTTCCATTTTACTGTTACATTATGAAAATATTTATGACCTTAAATAATATATCGTTATTGTTGTTGCAATAACAATTTTTTTCTTCAAAGGCTGCGAGCTTTGTGCAAAGTGAAAAAGTGTGTAAAATTTAACATTTTTTATAAGAAGTTTATGTCCTATTCTATGTGAAATTGAATTCATTATGAGCGTAAAGTGTATTTACCATACACATGTAATGGAATGAAATCTTCTCCCACTATAGCTAAGTTAGAAACATTGATAATCATTGATTATTTTTATTTTTTTTCCCTTTTCTGTTAATAGATTGTTTGGATACTTTTTTCCCCCCACAAATTTGCCTTCATAGATGTCTTATAACCATATTGTAGAATATAAACAAAAATCTTGGTTTGATTTTCTACTTGTGGAATGAAATATTTAGGAAAGCAGCTAAAGGGTAAGTGAGTAAGGCAAATACCATACCGATTACAATTGCATCAACAGAAAATCTCTGATCAACTTTGTCACTGCAAAGAGTGAATTGATTGACCATGTTATTTATTGAAAAAGAAATGGTTGAACAATTTGATTATTCAAAATTGATTAATATTTTTGTCTCTAAAACTGCAGGACGAGTTGTATTTAAGTGATCATTTAAAATATTTTCGCATCGTTAGTTGATTGTAATATATATTTTTTGAATATTTCGTTATTTTATTTTATTGTTGATTTTAAGTTAACAAATGTATTTCCATAAAACTCTTATAAGGGAAAAAGAAATTTGATTACTTGCTACGATTTAGAAGTCCAAATTCTAAAATTCGCTCCGACCCCGCGAAAAATAGATATTGCCCTTGGCCCAAATCATTATATAATGTTACTCCTATGTGACTTCAAATTTTATCAGTCCTATTTGTCATGATTATTTAATTTATATAGAATAGTAAGGTCTCGTGGTTGTTTTGCAAAATGCATATGATGCATCGACACGGACATGTGTCGGATATATCAATACGCGATTTTTCAAAAAAATAACCGACACGACATGTCGTCAACACGTTGATTAATTTTTTTAAAATTCTTCATTTATATAGTGTAAATTTAATTTTATACTTTTTATTAATTTTCCTTATTTAAATATTATAACTATGAGTACATATTTGTTATTTACAATTAAAAATATATAATATTTCAAATAAGAAAAGAAAAATGATCATGGTAGAATATTCGATAAGTGTCGGTGTTCAACACGTGTCCAACACGGACACGATACCCTAATTACAGTGCCCATGTTACAGAGTATTGTGCTAAGGTGGGCTTCAATTACCTACTTTTGCTCTAGCTCCACAGTTGTAATCTGGAAATCCACGGCAAATCATCAGATTTTTTGTGAACAAAATAACAAAACCTCGTAGCC